CCCCATTGCACCGTCACCCCCTGTGGCAGGCTCCTCGCCCCGGCGCTGGGCCAGAACTCTGGGCATCCTGGTGAAACCAGCCTGCGCCGCCGGCTGCCCCAGGAGGGCCTGTTGTGACGAAGCGGGGTTGTATTGGCTCTGTTCGCTTGTGTTGCATGGGATTTCTGCTGTCCTGTGCTGCTCTCTAGTAACTGGGTGTGTGCCTCAGTTTCCCTGGGCACTGCACGGGTGCCCGGCTGGGAGTTTTGGGTGAGGCTGCCCAGCCCAGCACAGACAATGGCGCAGGCTCTCTTTAAGCTGAACCTGCTGGGGGAATCTTGGCAGGGTTAGATGCAGGGAGGGGCCCTGACTCTGGGCCCCCTCCCCAAGACAGGCTGCACTGGCTGCTCCTAGCTCCTGGAACAACAAGTCCTGGTGAAACCAGCCTGCGCCGCCGGCTGCCCCAGGAGGGCCTGTTGTGACGAAGCGGGGTTGTATTGGCTCTGTTCGCTTGTGTTGCATGGGATTTCTGCTGTCCTGTGCTGCTCTCTAGTAACTGGGTGTGTGCCTCAGTTTCCCTGGGCACTGCACGGGTGCCCGGCTGGGAGTTTTGGGTGAGGCTGCCCAGCCCCCTGGTGAAACCAGCCTGCGCCGCCGGCTGCCCCAGGAGGGCCTGTTGTGACGAAGCGGGGTTGTATTGGCTCTGTTCGCTTGTGTTGCATGGGATTTCTGCTGTCCTGTGCTGCTCTCTAGTAACTGGGTGTGTGCCTCAGTTTCCCTGGGCACTGCACGGGTGCCCGGCTGGGAGTTTTGGGTGAGGCTGCCCAGCCCAGCACAGACAATGGCGCAGGCTCTCTTTAAGCTGAACCTGCTGGGGGAATCTTGGCAGGGTTAGATGCAGGGAGGGGCCCTGACTCTGGGCCCCCTCCCCAAGACAGGCTGCTCTGGCTGCTCCTAGCTCCTGGAACAACAAGTCTGGGCTACGCTGTGTCCCTGGGAACCAACAACCCTTCTGCTTTACCTGCCGCCGGGGAGGCCCGTCCGGCTGTGGATGGGGGGCAGGGCTCGGGGACTCCCCACTCCTCAGTGACACCTGTTTCCCCTCCTGGGGAAATCACTCCAGCAGGGAGGCCGGCGCAGGACATCTCATCCCACTTATCTGAGCAAGGCCCGGGGGCCGGGGGGGGCGCTGATCGTATTAGAGCATCCTTGTGCGAGGACGGAGGTAAGGAAGGGGAGAGGAGCCGGTGCAGGCGTGACGGGGCTTGGCAGTCTGCGAGGGGGCGGCAGGAGGCTCAGGCGTGTGCTCCGGGAAGAGGAGAGGAGAGTTGGAAATGGCAG